ATACAGGTGGTGCAGGACGGAAAGCCTAGTAAGGCTGGGCGCATACATTCGTTTCCCGCGTTCGATTTCCGAATTCGTTTTCCGTATTCGGAGACCCGAATGCATCAGACGCTAATAAAATACATTGCTGCACACGTTCGATTTTTTTTTCCGAATGGAACACATTCCCTACTTACGTTTCGGAAGCATGTCCGTGCATTCGTAAAAATGGAACGGCTAAAGTCTAGTGACGTCACGCGGACGGCAGCACTGGCATACATTTGTAATGAACCGCCGCACTCAGTCGGAAATTTCCATCCAGAACCGCGCAGTGACGAGCGTATTGAACGTCACGTCGTTGCATCAAGAGCTCGAATGCATCAGGACAATGTGTGAAGCAGAAGAACTAACATTGGCTGTTGAAAAGCACTCCTGGTTGTGGGATATTCATGAAAAGAACTATCACAATGGAGATGTCAAAGATTTGTCTTGGAAGCAAGTTTTCAAAGAGGTTATACAGGATTGCAACTCGTGCACAAAAGTGGAAACAGAAAACAAGGGTCAAATTGCTTTTCTTTCACTTTTATTACAAAGACTATTGCCTACTGTACTTTTTTTACTTTAAATTTGTAATTCTTGTGCAATATTCTACCAGCGGTTTCTAGAGCTTAAAATGGGAAGAAAAGTTTATATAAACATAGGTCGACAAACGTCCCCTAAGGGCGCTACGGTCTTTTAAATGGGCTCCCCTGAAGATGGTTTTTCCTTAATATTTCCGAAACGTGTTGAAATAAAGACATAAAATTTGGTATTCTAGCCTAATTTTTTATGCTGGATTTAAAAATATGAACAATTTTAGACAGTTTTGTTTGAAAGCATATGTAACAGGGACGGACTCAGGTTATTTGAGCCCCAAAATTTTTTAGTGATTCTATTTTTGAAATTCAATTTTAGAATTCAAAAATTTAGGGTCTTCTACGTAAAAAAGATACTTTTATTGAATATCGATAAATTGTGCCATTTTTGAATAAAATCAAACTAAAGAATTTGTCACATGATAGGAAATGTACTGCAAATTTAATAAATACATAAATTTCTATTGCAACGTAGCTAACATTTAGCCAAAAACAAAAGTAATAATTTTTTTCTACGAACGAAATTGAAATTTGTTTAAAAAAGAAGACATACAGTTGGATATACTTAAAACTAGCTTTACAATAAGTGTTCAAATAAATTTCCATTTTGTTGGATACAGAGTCTCGCTCGACGAAAAACCTTTTTCTTCTTATTTCATTTGCAGCCTGATGGATTCTTTGAAGTAAATCTTCTTGAGTATTTACTTCAGTCGAGTAAACTAGGTCTCTCAATGACCCCCAAAAATAGAAATCCGATGGATTTAGGTCAGATGAACGTGGCTGCCACGCTATAGGATCTCCTCGGCTTAACCACCTGTCTGGAAAATTGACATTCAACCAATTTCGAACACTGCGTCCAAAATGTGCAGGTGCGCCATCATGTTGGAAACACATATTTTCTTGAAACTGCTGGCGCACATCCAATGGTATTATATCCATGAGCTCATTCTGAAGAAAGTTCAGATACACCTCTGAATTAAGACGATTGGGAAGTACAATAGGCCCAATTACTTGATCCCCAATTACTTGATCCCCAGTTACTAAATGCTGATAAGTTCAATGAAAATCTATGTTGGAAATTTGTACGGCGAACAACTTTTGGATTTTCATCTGACAAGTGATACATGTTATGGAAATTAAAAGCACCATTCCTAGTAAATATTGACTCATCCGACCATGATATTCTAGGATTAGTATTTTCATCCACTGGCAAAACTCGATTCGTGGTAAAAAATCTGCCTCCGTTAAATGCTGCACCCGTTTAAAATGATAAGGATGGAATCCTTGCATTCTTGTCATTCTTCCTATCTAAAATTATTATTTTTAGGATAACTATCAAATAGGTATTCATAAATTTTTCTTACTATTGATCGAGGTATATCCATAATTTCTGAAACATTTCGTATGCTTATTTGCGGATTATTTTCAAACATAATTAAAGCGATATCCATACGATGATTTCCCAGTGGCCTTCCTGAGCCCTGCATACGCTGAAAACTTCCGTGGTTTGACAAATTCCGGTGAATATCAGTAAACATTCGACGTCCAGGTGCTATGCGATTGGGAAATCTTCTTTGATATTCTCTTACGGCTGCCAATGAACTGCCATTGCAAGACCCGTACACAAAATGCATGTCAGTCAGTTCTCTGTCTGTAAATCTTGGCATTTTAAATCGATTTAATAAAAATTTTGAATTTAATCTAGTAATTTTACACTGCTAACAATGTCAGCTTAATGTCAAAATAAGTCATAACAAATCAAAACAACTTTTGTTTGCAGCCATGGCTATGTATTATCAACAATTCATTTAAATTCGCAGTACATTCCCTATCATGTGCCAATTTTTTTAGTTTGATTTTATTCAAAAATGGCACAATTTATCGATATTCAATAAGAGTATCTTTTTATGTATAAAACCCTAAAGTTTCAAATTCGAAAATTGAATTTCAAAAATAGAATCACACAAAAATTTTGGGGGTAAAATAACCTGAATCCGTCCCTGTTACATACGCTTCCAACTAAAACCGTCTAAAATTGTTAATCTTTTTAAATGCATCATAAAAAACTAGGCTAAAATACCAAATTGTATGTCTTTATCTCAACACGTTTCGGAAATATTAAAGAAAAACCATCTTCAGGGGAGCCCCTTTAAAAGACCGTAGCGCCCTTAGGGGACGTTTGTCGACCTATGTTTATATAAACTTTTCTTCCTATTTTAAGCTCTAGAAACCGCTGGTAGAATATTGCAGACTTTTTTCGGGACACCCTGTATATACCTAGGTATGATATTTCTCCTAGCGGCTACTGAGCAAACTCGTCTCTTATGCTTCGGCCTCGGTTTGTAGATCTATGTTGTGTATCCAGAGATAATCTTATCCAGGTATCTTGTTTCCTTAATTTATCACATATGCCATTATGAAGATCATCGAAAGATTGTATTGACATCCTGTAGAAATCAACGAATTTATCTGGATGTGCCCGTAACTTTACTCTTTTTAGATAAAATGGACTCTCGTAGATTCTCCGACTGTTTAACGTATGCACCCAATACCGACGTTTCTTTTTTTTTGATAATAATAATAGAAGTGCAATCGCAATTGAATTATCGATCTCCATGGCCAAGCATTCACACAGCCGCCACTGAGCGTACTGGTTGTATAATATTCACTCCAAAAAATTGAACGTTTATGCTAGGCTCACGGAATTCCGAACTGGAATTCCTGATTAGGAAACCGTATACGGAAAACGAATGTATGCGCCCAAGACAACCTTCGTCACTTTCACACGAAGGCGGGTACTAGAAGCCCTTTCGCCACTAACCCTGTATGGTGTTGAGATAAAGATTAACGTGGAACTCTCGCATCAACGGAACAGCACAAAAAGCTACAATAGCCCTAGGAAGATGTAGACAGATGTGCGGAAGAAATTGGGGGTTAAGCTCAAAAATGATCATGTGATTATACACGAGGGTGGTGAGACCCATGATAACCTATGGATCAGTGACATGGTGGACAAAGGCTACACAGTCGGAAGCGGTGAGCCTATCCAGTGGCGTAGAGAGGCTAGCTTGCTTGAGCGCCACGGGGGTCATTTATACCGCTACGACTGCAGCGTTGGAAATCCTTCTTGACCTACCACCATCACACATCATGGTAATGCTCTTTCAGTGGCTCACAGACTAACTCAAGGCCAATCACCGATCAGTCGGCAGCATGGAAAAGGCAGGCAAAAGAGTTCATCAAAGAACGAAGGCCTGCATTTACAGAGGGCCTACTCGGACTCAATAGGAAGACCATAAGGGCCATAGGGGGTCTCCTGACAGAACACTGTCGATCAAATCGCCATAAGAGGCTCTCGGGATCTGACAGAAGAGACCACATGCCGTTTCTGCAGAAAGCATAAGGAAGCCCCAGTGCATCTGTGGTCTCACAAGGTTACGGTTTCAGATAATAGGAACCACAGGTTCAACAGCGGAAAGCTGCATGCAAAGCCCTGTGTCAAGGCTGTGGAGTCTCATAAATGGATCAAGACTGGACACACTGCTTTAGAAATTATACAGGGGTCACACTAGATCCACTTGGGTCTCAGTGACGTTAAGGCTGGCAAGCCAACCCCTTTCTTCCGTAATCTGTAATCGTGATAAGTCCAATTCAGATCTGGGAAAAACCAAAATTATCGAAGAACAGGTGCAATCGAAATATCTTGTCCAAAAGTAAAGAAAGGACAAAACACCTCGAAAAATGCGTTTCTTAGAGATATCGTCTCTCTATTGACTATGACCTTCGAGCTCATTCGAAGGTCAAGACAGCTTTCCTAAACCTCTATTTTTGGATACAAGAAATAAAAAGAACAAGAAACTTTATATTCAAGTATAATCACGGCCACCAGGGCCATTTGAAGATCAATTGAATTTTTAACGGGAAATGTCTGTTTTTCGTTCTTCGTGTGCAAATTGCGAACATGACCTTCAACGTCATCTCGAGATGAGATGAATGTTCAAGTGAACTACTTACTTTTTGTCGAGGATATAAAAAAGCGACGTTGAATTTAATTTATAGTTGCATTAAAGTGTTGGATAAGAAATTAATGTTCATTGTCAAAGTAACTATTTGCATCACTTTGAATATTGCATTTCTTTTTCCGAAACCAATTTAATGCAAAACGAATGACATCTACTTTACATAACTTCCACGCGAGCGGAGCTACGAGTTTAGTCTAGTATATGATGAAAGCAGTAATTTTTGGCACACTATCTGGCAGCATTTGCTTCCTCGAGCATTTATTAACCGAAAACCGATGGTTTTCTTCGTGGTATCATCATATTTGAAATATAAACAGGCATCTACCTTTAAATCTGAAAAAAGAACTCGCAAAGCAATACTTACCGCCGGAATTGGACATTTTGTTGGTAAACCAAACACTTGAAGGAATGTACCTATTTGAGGGAGAGCTGCTTCGCTAAAAACATCGCATATGTCAACATCACCTGTCATATCTGGTAGAGGAGGCTTCTTTATAGAATACGTGGCCTATAAAATAGGAGTTGTCAGTCAAATACATTATCCTAAAGGTGTTATAGAAAAAAACCTTCTCTTGAAATCAAACTGGGACGGCTCATAGTCGGAAACATGTCACATTCATCATATTATTGATTCTTCTGTGGTTTTCGAGTTTTGGTGAAGGTGCATCGAGTTTCTATACATAGTTCTTTCTATACAGGGTGTCCCGAAAAAAGTGTGCAATATTCTACCAGCGGTTTCTAAAGCTTGAAATAGGAAGAAAACTTTATATAAACATAGGTCGACAAACGTCCCCTAAGGGCGCTACGGTCATTTAAAGGGGCTCCCCTGAAGATGGTTTGTCCTTAATATTTCCGAAATGTGTTGAGATAAAGACATGAAATTTGGTACTCTAGCCTAGTTTTTTATGATGGATTTAAAAATATTAACAATTTTAGACAGTTTTGTTTGGAAGCGTATGTAACAGGGACGGACTCAGGTTATTTTAGCCCCAAAATTTTTGTGTGATTCTATTTTTGAATTCAATTTTAGAATTTGAAAATTTAGGGTTTTTCTACATAAAAAAGGTACTCTTATTGAATATCGACAAATTGTGCCATTTTTGAATAAAATCAAACTAAACAATTTGTCACATGATAGGAATTGTACTGCGAAATTAAAATAATTGTTGATTATACATAGTTAGCCATGACTGCAAACAAAAGTTGTTTTGATTTGTTGACTCATTTTGACGTTAAGCTGACATAGTTAGCAGTGTAAAATTACTAGATTAAAATCAAAATTTTTATTAAATCGATTTAAAATTCCAATATTTACAGACGGAGAACTGACTGACATGCATTTTGTGTACGGGTTTCGCAATGGCAGTTCATTGGCAGCCGTAAGAGAATATCAAAGAAGCTTTCCCAATCGCATATTACCTGGACGTCGAATGTTTACTGATATTCACCGGAATTTGTCAAACCATGGAAGTTTTCAGCTCATGCAGGGCTCAGGAAGGCCACTGGGAAATCATCGTATGGATATTGCTTTAAATATGTTTGAAAATAATTCGCAAATAAGCATACGAAATGTTTCAGAAAATATGGATTTACCTCAATCAATAGTAAGAAAAATTTGTGAATACCTATTTGATAGTTATCCTAAAAATAATAATTTTAGATAGGAAGAATGACAAGAATATAAGGATTACATCATTATCATTTTAAACGGGTGCAGCATTTAACGGAGGCAGATTTTTTACCACGAATCGAGTTTTGCCAGTGGATATTAGCAAGTGAAAACACTATTCCTAGAATATTATGGTCGGATGAGTCAATATTTACTAGGAATGGTGCGTTTAATTTCCATAACACGCATCACTGGTCAGATGAAAATACAGAACTTGTTCGCCGTACAAATTTCCAACATAGATTTTCATTGAACTTATGAGCATTTAGTAATTGGGGATCAAGTAATTGGGCCTATTGTACTTCCCAATCGTGTTAATTCAGAGGTGTATCTGAACTTTCTTCAGAATGAGCTCATGGATATAATACCATTGGATGTGTGCCAGCAGTTTCAAGAAAATATGTTTTTTCAACATGATGGCGCCCCTGCACATTTTGGATGCAATGTTCGAAATTGGTTGAATGTCACTTTTCCAGACAGGTGGTTAGGCCGAGGAGGTCCTATAGCGTGGCCGCCACGTTCAGCTGACCTAAATCCATTGGATTTTTATTTTTGTGGGTCATTAAAAGACCTAGTTTACTCGACTGAAGTAAATACTCAAGAAGATTTACTTCAAAGAATCCATCAGGTTGCAAATGAAATAAGAAGAAAAAGGTTTTCCACTTTTCGGGCTACGCAATCATTAGTTCCTCGAGCGAGACTCTGTATCCAACAAAATGGGAATTTATTTGAACACTTACAATACACTTATTGTAAAGCTAGTTTTCAGTATATCCAACTGTATGTCTTCTTTTTTAAACAAATTTCAATTTCGTTCTTAGAAAAAATGTATTTCTTCTGTTTTTGCCTAAATGTTAGCTATGTTGCAATAGAAATATGTATTTATGTAATATTTACCAATTATTAAATTAGTTTTTTCATTGCCATGGCTAATTATTCAACAGTTCATTTAAATTCGCAGTGTGCCAATTTTTTTAGTTTGATTTTATTCAAAAATGGCACAATTTATCGATATTCAATAAGAGTACCTTTTTATGTAGAAAATCCTAAATTTTCTAATTCTAAAATTGAGTTTCAAAAATAGAATCACACAAAAATTTTGGGGCTCAAATAACCTGAATCCGTCCCTGTTACATATGCTTCCATATTCCAAATTGTTAATATTTTTAAATCCAGCATAAGAAATAAGGCTAGAATACCAAATTTTATGTCTTTATCTCAACACGTTTCGGAAATATTAAGGAAAAACCATCTTCAGGGGAGCCCCTTTAAAAGACCGTCCCTTAGGGGACGTTTTTCGACCTATGTTTATATAAACTTTTCTTCCTATTTTAAGCTCTATAAACCGCTGGTAGAATATTGCACACTTTTTTCGGGACACCCTGTATCAGCAATTTGTCGATGACCTCAAATATGATCTACGTATAGACAATGTCCTCAGAGGTCATTTGGATGTCAACTTTGTAAATACAAATCACACGAGGTCAAGAGCGGTATAATTAGCAGGACCTACTGTAACGTCTGAAAAGTATATGAACACCCTGACAACTTGGTATCCGTACATTTTCTTGGAAAAAAGATCCAAAGAAGAGTTTCAGGGTATCAGAAAATAAATTAATCATAACTTCAGATTGTCCTAAACGGAACCTCCTCCGAGGATTCAAACATCAAACTTGACCAACAAAAATGTCTGGAAAGTACATGAAAACCCAGAAATTTTTCTGAAAAAAGATCCAACGAAAAGTTAGCCTCAAATATGACCTCACCGGGGTCTTTCTCGTAGGTGCTAACTTACTCAGAATATATTCTTTTATGAAATAATAACAGCGTTGTTTGGGAAGTTCAGAGTAAACCTACTTGACGTCATTTCTTTTTCTTCTCCTCGTTGCAGAATTGTGCCATACAAGCTACATGCCCATGTTTTAGGTACATATTGATGTAAGCTAATTATGCCTCAGAGTTTGAGTCTTAAAAAGCATGAAATATCTGTTAACATACCTTAGCGAATGTAATCTGTTTAGGTACAATTGCACAACCACTAAAAAATAAGTTGCAGTTCTTATCAGCTGTGACAGTGACCCCTGGGTTCAATTTGATTGCACTGTTATCACATGTTTTCACACTGGTCACCTTTATGTCGTATCCATTCTAGAATTATACAAAAACTATTTGAAGATGAAACACAGTCAATATGTAAATTGAAAAAAAAGACAGTTCATTTTGGTTATTCGACTATTTCCTATACTTTTTGTCAGTGTAGGGTATTTGGAATTTTCTTTAATCTACGACCTTCATGCCTTTGTAATTTTCTTGAAATCTCATTTCACGGGGCCAAAATCTTAAGTATTCACATTTAGCAAAATTTCTAAAACTGACAAAAATGAGTTAATCGCTACTGCACCTAAATAGTGATTGGATTTTTTTTTTCAAAATCAATTATTTCACAGTTTATTCTATTGGCTTTTACACTTTTATGGTTTGCCTTTTATATAGCTAAACATCGCGAAGTCACTGCAAGATGCATATTATAAGCGTTAGATTAAAATTGAGGTATAATCCTATTCATACATGTACTTACACAAGCTTCCGACTTTTCTACGGCACAAGAAATTAGAAAAATAGCAAAACACAACTCAAAAATCCCTATCATGTTTACTGAGCAACCAGCTTCACGATTATTGTCCACACTACCTAGAGTTCAAACTTTTTATAAAGATAAAATCGATCTTTCGCATTGTTATCATCATAGTGGCCTTGACTATTGGCTAGCAATTGTTTGGAATTCATCATCCATACATCCAAATGTAGAAATTCTCATCACAAAATCATTATGTTTAGTCTAATCGCCACCAAATCTAAACGCTATTATTATGTTATTGTATTATTGAGCGAGCATGCTAAATTGATTAGATTTGATCGGTACGTTGAAGTGGCTGGACAGACGGATATAAGTTGCAAGTCAGATTTGTTGGAAATGCATATTTTTCCAAATCAGTGGGTAGGAAAAGGATTTTGATTAATGATGGTTTTTAGTTATGAACATTTACAAGGAGTTATAAAACTGCGCACTAAGGAGGCCGGATGAAGAAAATAATACCTGCTAAAAAGATGAAAGTTTGCATAAGAAGGCAGCAAGTCACAGCTAATCAAACCCTTTTATGATGACAAGAGCAACGACATGAGCCTTACCATAAGAGTGGATGAGCTCACTCCACAATTAGATGACGTAAGCTAGGTGCTCCCCCGTGGTTTGCTGGCACTGCCTGTCGCTAATCAATGAATCTGTGTATATGCTACGATCAGATCAGTTGACTTGCTTTTGCGTTCTTACCGAGGAGAACAGCTAAGCAACAATCAGCCCCGTTTTGAGTGGTACATAAGAGCTATATCTCTCTCGCAGCTCACGCAAAATATACATTGAGCGCGCAGTTGAGTAGCAATTAAAAAATAAATGTGTACAATAAAAATACCCCCTGGAATGCCGTGGGGTTTTGTAAATGGGAATTTGAAGAATATTTGGGAACCTATTTTTTTTTTAATATCATCCCTACCTTTACTAATTACGAGGGATGTCTTTTAAGTTTTGCAAATGAAAATAAAACAACAAGGTAGGTAGTTTTAAATGACTTTATTGTTATTCGAAGTATTCTCCACGAAGATTAATACACATCTGCATGCGCTCGAACCAATTTTCGAAGCACTTATTCCACTCGTTTGCTGACAGATCCAAAACGGTATTTTTGAATGCGTCAACTGCTTCTTCTGGTGACTGGGATCTTTGACCACGCAGTCTGTTTTTAATTTTCGGGAAAGTAAAGATATCGTTAGGATTTAGATCGGGACTATATGGAGGATGGTCCAACAATTCCACGTTTTCTTCCGTTAAATACTGCCTTGTTCTTTGGGCGGTGTGCGAGCTTGCACTGTCTTGGTGGAAGGTGATTCTTCTTTCGGGGTTGATTTTTCGAAGCTCGGTGATGACTTTTGGCAAACAAATGGTGGTATACCAATCCGCAGTATCAGTTCTTTGCTCATTAAGAGGAATTGTTGCAATATGACCCGCTTTTGACACAAATGTCGCGACCATCTTTTTCGAAACACTTCGAGAACGGATGACTTTCGTTGGCTTTTCTTCACCTTGGAACACCCAAACAGCCGACTGTCGTTTATTTTCTGGATCATAACAGTAAATCCACGATTCATGACCAATAACAATGCTGTACACATTTTTTGAGTTTCCGGAATTGAAACGGTCCAGCTTTTTTGACACCAATTAACCCTGGCAGCTTTCTGCTCTTCAGTCAACAGTATCCAACGAGAAACTAATTTTCTTACTCCTAATTCTTCATGTAAAATTTTTTTAATTGAGGCCTTTGATATCTTCAAGGACGCCTCAATCTCGCGATATGTCACATGTCTATCTTCAATGATGAGTTTGCGAACAGCATCGACGTTTTCCTGGGTGACTGCTGTTTTTGGTGTACCCACCCTGGGATCGTCGCTAAGACTCACCCGTCCACGTTTAAGTTATCCATACCAACGGGAAATTGTCGACTGATGTGACCTTGGTTGCCGAAAACAGACAGTAACTCAGCAAGGCATTCTTGTTGCGATAATTGTCTCTGAAAGTTGTAATAAATTATGGCGCGAAAAAGTTCTCGGTTAAGTTCCATTTTTCTAATGACTTGGTGACACTTAAAAATTCACTGTAGTGAGAACACTGCATATTGTTGTGAAACTTTGAATTTAAGCTTACTAAAGAGTGAGGTTAAGATTCAGTACTGACGTTCGATCCGCGCGGCCTACTATGTTTCTATATGCAAAACTTAAAAGACATCCCTCGTACTGTGAAAAAAATGTACCAAACTTTCTCTTTCTCTTTACTTTCTCTTGGAAGACCTGGCTCTTGAGACAGGAAGAACGATGTGGTTACAGAATGATGGGTGCCCTGGAGTAGAAAAGGGGTATCTTGATGAAACATTCCCTAGATGATTGGCTGGCTAGAATCAATTTTGTGGCGGTAAAGATGGTGAAAATAATAATAATAATGATAATAATAATCATTTATTTCAGGCAATATTTACATTAAAATATGTTAATAATGATTCCTAATTCTTTATTTGATCTGAATGTTGTAAAAATCAATGGAAATAAATAACACAACCTAAAGTTCTGTTCATTGTTTTGATGTCTGCATACAACAATGAATAGAAAAAGGTAATAGATAGCTGTTTTAGACATTTGCTAAAATAAAAAGCTATTACAGCAACTACAAAGATGTAATTTAGACCCAAAAAACAGCTGCACTTATTTTTTGCGGATTTTGCCCATTATTTTCCTACTTTTTGTTATATACCTTTCTCCGCATGATCACTTTCTCTCTCTCTCTCTCTATATATATCACAGAATAGAATTGTGAATGGGATACGCATACTGAGAAATTAGAAGTTTGACTACTCTGCGACCGTCTGTAGGTACCAGTTGAGTTTTATTGCGGAGAAATTGATATTACACATATTTTTCCACGCACAGATCCATTCAGTCCTGGCTTATGTAATCAATGTATGGGGAGCATTATTCAAAATACAAAGACTTTTTGATTTACAAGAAAGGGCTGTTTGGACAATCGCGAGAAGGCGCACTAGTTGCAAAGATTAATTTAAAATTCTACCACTGAACATTTATCGAAAAAGAATTAATGAAATTTAATTGAAATCAGCTTTTTTCTCTGATGGGAAATTTTGAACGAGTAATTATATTGTCTAATTGACTTATTGTTATTTTATATTATTTATTATATTATATTCTTTTTCTTGTTTGTCGCTTTATTATTAGTCGAATTTTTTATTGTTTGTCCTTTATTTAGTCTTTTTATATTATATTTATACATTTGTTATCCTACATCACATATGTGATCAAACAGAACTAATAAGTTATTATTATTATTTCTCGGGATCGAAGAGAAATACTTAAATGATTCAAGAAACCTGGAAAGGTTTTCTCTGAATCTGCTTTTTTAACTGTTGGGGAATTTTTAACGAGTAATTATCTTGTCTAGTTGACTTACTGTTATTTTATATTATTTATTATATTATCTTCTTTTTCTTGTTTGTCGCTTTATTATTAGTCAAATTTTTTATTGTTTGTCCTTTATTTAGTCTTTTTATATTATATTTATATATTTGTTATCCTACATCACGTATGTGATCAAACAGAACTAATAAGTTATTATTATTTTTCGGGATCGAAGAGAAATACTTAAATGATTCAAGAAACCTGGAAAAGTTTTCTCTGAATCTGAATATTTTTTCGAACAGGTGCGAAGATACTTCCTGGTCAACTTTTTGACCCGTCGATCTGCTAGCCAATGTCCAGAGAAGAGACTATTGGGGTCTTTGTATTGTGCTGGTCTTTGGCATTACGAACAGCTTCACTATACCTGCTTCTAGAATATCAACTTCTCTCTGTTCTCTTAAGTATGCAAAATTAAACATCTCATATTTCACTTAAACGGTATAACGTTAAATTTTCAATATTTTGTAACGAAGTATATTTCTTAAAACAGTAGTTTTTAACAAGACACTTGCATTGAGCAACAACATGATTTTGATTGCGGTGTCATGCACGATCAAGTCTTATTAACAGGCAATGTAAATACAATAATTATTTCGGCAACTTTCCTTGATTATTTCAAAATGTATTCGAAAAATTTCTTGTTGACAGGGTGATTCGACAAGAATCGGCATATCAGCAAATCTTTTAACATCGTACAAAAATTCGTGAGAATGTTTTGCAGCCGCAAAGATTTCCAAATCTTGATATACATTGTGGATTTTTCATGACATGTACGAGAAACCAGATCAATCATTTACGCCAGTCTATTTATACAAGCTCACTCTTCAGCCAAGCTCAATAGAATTCGATAATTGGACGGTCCAGTGGCAACAGAGTTTTGAACAGTAGAAAAAAATTGAGTGCGACCTCAAACTGAATTCTTTGATGCTAATCGAGTTTCTAAATACTCTTATGGATCAGTTTCTTTAAAAAATCCATATCTATATTTTAGACGTTTTCGCGGTCTCTTTATTGCGTAGGGCAAAAAATGGCGTCAAGTAGGTTGACTCTGGACTTCCTACGTAACGCTGTCAACAATTTATAAGGAATTATATTCGGCGCAGGTTAGTTCCTCTTAGAAAAACCTTTGCTACGAACATGTATAACAAAGGAATTGAATGCATCATGTCAGTCAAACAGGCTCATACAATCAGGCCATTATCCAACAATGCGATCTAGTCTACTGCCCTACAAGCAGTACCGACCACTCGACCACACAGCATCATGGCAATCCAGCACGGAGGGTGTCTGTGAAAGGTTGAGAAACCTCGAAACTGGAGATACTACAGACCAAAGTATGTGAATTGACCTGAACATACCTCAGTCCAAAATTTACAATTTTATTTACTATTTTTCCTTATTGCTTGAGAAGTATTTCAGATTTTGGCATAATACTCGGTATGCTTTTGTTTTGATTTGCGTGGATCCCGCCGTATGCAAAAAAATGGCGCATTAGCAGTGGCGTGCGATGTGTTTGTTATACGCTCATCTCTTCCATTTTGCTTCCCGAGTATAGCTACCTTTTGGCAGTTAGATCTATGTAATTATAGATTAGATCAGGTATATTTCATATATCATAGATTTCCCCGTGAATTTCCCGTGAAAGTTGAATTATAAACGTGTATCTTCGAC